CCCACCTCAAGCCGCACCTCCATCTCCTACCGACCAACCTCATCCCGCCCCCTTGACCTGTCCGTCCTCCCTGAACTGACCTATCCCCTTCCTAACTCCCTACCTACACTCACCTTTCCTGGCCCCATCCCCGCCTCTTCGACCTGTTTGTTTCCTCTCCACCTATCCTCTCCTCTATCCCTCTTCTATCCGCCTCCCACTCTCTCCCTATTTATTTCAAAACCCCCTTCCCCTCCCCCTTTTCTGATGAAGGGTCTAGGCCCGAAACGTCAGCCTCTCTGCTCCTATGATGCTGCTTGGCCTGCTGTGTTCATCCAGCCCTGCACCTTGTTGTCAGGGACTGGAGGAACTGTTTTGCAGAAAAAAAGGGGCTGAAACGAAAGGCTGGGACAAGTCACTGATAAAGAGGTTGGGGGGGAAAAACAGCCCCTTCCTCAAGAAAGATCATAAAATCTAACTTTGATTTTTTTTTGTTTCCTCTGAATTAAACTCAACAAAACAGACCCAGCCATTTGGAAGCGAATGCTGCCATGGATTTTGATATTCTTGATATTGCTTCGGCCACTTTTGGAATACTGTGGTCAGTTCTGGTCTCCCTGCTAGTGGAAGGATGTTGTGAAACCTGAAAAGGTTCAGAAAAGATTTACAAGGATGTTGGAAGGCTTGACCTACAAGGAGAGGCTGAATAGGCTGGGGCAATTTTCCCTGGACTGTCAGAGGCAGACAGTGATCTGAAAGATGTTTATAAAATCATGAGGGTATGGATAGGGTGAATAGTCCAGGTCTTTTCCCCAGGGTAGGGGAGGCCAAAACTAGAGGGCATAGGTTTAAGGTGAGAAGGGAAAGATCAAAAAGGGGCATAAGGAGCAACTTTTTCTCAGAGGGTGGTACTTGTATGGAATGAGGGTAGGGCCAGAGGAAGTGGCAGAGGCTGGGACAATGACCACATTTGGAAGGGTACGTGAATAGGAAGAGTTGAGGGATATGAGGAAAATGCTGGCGAGTGGGACTAGATTAATTTAGGATATCTGGTCGGCATGGATGAGTTTGACCAAAGGATCTGTTTCTGTGCTGTACAACTCTGACTCCGTCTGCTTGAACATAGACTCCCAACTCCCAGATACTGACCTCATTAATAGCCAACTTCTGCTATCTAGATTTTAAACACAATGCTCTTCCCAGGAGGGTCACTGTGTCCATTAGAACCTCTTAGTCAAGGGTGCAGTTAGCCTCCAGCCCTTCCCTCACAAATAAACAAAGCTTACCCAGGTCTGTTTTTCTCTTTTTAACCTAAGCTGCCCCAAAGTCCAGCAATGTTTTCCAGCCCCTGATTCAAAGTTGATAAAAGAACTGACATAGCAGGATGCAGTACAGCAGTTGTGCAAACCCCAGGTATGAAGGGACAGTGCTCCAAAAGCTGGTGATTTCAAATAAATCTGTTGGACTATAACCTGGTGTCATGTGACTTCTCACCCAGTTCAGGAGGAAAGATCAACAGAAAATGTTGAGAGCGAGAGAGAGAACCCAAGCAATTTTTGCTGGAGCAGGGAGAAATATATAGCACCTTCCAAACCCCAACAGCCACTGTAAGTTAAAATAAAACCCTGGTTCTATGGGAGCCTGACCCCACCTCTTCATGCCACTTTTATTATTCCACCTCAGGAAAAAAACCCAAAGCCTCACTCACTGTTTACTTTATGGGCTTGGAACAGATGGCTCGCTCCCGCTGTCTCAACCTTTCTTCACAAAAAAAGGATAAAATACACCCCCTGAAGCCATAGTGTTATCACAAAATAGAGATTCAACCAGCACAAATAGCCAATTAGTCTGTGGACCAGTTATCAGTGACAGCACTGGGGAAGCAATGGCCTAGTGATATTATTAATCCAGCTAATGTTCTGGGGACCCAGGTTCCAATCCCGCCACAGCAGATCATGGAATTTAAATTCAGTAAAGAATCTGGAATTAAAGGTCTAATGATGACCGTGAATCCATTGTCGATTGTCATGGAAAACCCATCTGGTACATTAATGCCCTTTAGGAAGGGAAAGTGCCATTCTTACTTGGTCTGGCCTACATGTGACTCCAGACCCACAGCAATGTGGTTGACTCTTAGCTGCCCTTTGAGCAATTAAGGAATGGGCAATGAATGGTAGCCTGGCCATGATGCCCTCAACCTGTGAGTAAATGGGAAAAAAAAGCCTGACTGAAACCTGGATCATGCTTTCTGAATGAGGAATTCTGCACCCCTTTTAAAATATTTACCTTTCATGAAGGCTCCAGGGATAGCAGGACTTGATTTCCAGCACATTACCCCAGTGACGTGTAGCATGGCAACATTTTCAGACAATTTCCTGCAGATTATAAAGAATGAGAAGAGTCAGTTTAACTTTGGATATTTATCCCATCTGCTGTAGAGAGAGGAGAGAGGGGATGTTGTAAAAATTCTCCGCTCTCAGATTTGTAGACTGATACTGCACAGAAAGAGACCATTTGGCCCATCCAGTCAAGTCTACCCTTTCAAGTAGGAATCCCGTTCAAATCCAAATCCAGATCCAGTTCCCAAAAGGAAAATGACTGTTTTGCAAACTCGTTTTTTTTGTTCCTGTGCTCAGGCATTGGGAAGTACATTGCACAGGACCTTGCCCAGAGAAATGCCCGTGTGATCCTGGCATGCCGCAGCGCAGAACGAGGGGAGAAAGCAGAGCGAGAAATCCGACACTGGACAGGAAACAGTAACGTTCACTTCCGCATTCTGGACACCAGCTCCTTGGAGTCTGTGCGGAAGTTCACAGAGCAGATCAGGAAGGAGGAGAAGCAATTGGACATCCTCCTAAATAATGCAGGTGCCTCAGGTAATGGGAAGAGCTTGAGTAATGTGAAGGCTGTGACTAAGCAAAGGGATAGGGAAGGGCCTGGGATTCTGTTCCAGAAACCATTGATTTTTGGTTAATTTCCCAGTGTGTCATCAAGTAATTCAACTTTAGAACCAAAAGATATTAGTTTCCAGTGACTTTTTTTTTGTATTTCTGTCATGGCCAAGATAGTAGAGTCTTTCTCTTGTCCAATGACTCTGTGCCAGTGTCAATGTGACTGCTTTACACTGCTAATCTTCAAACTTGTCAAAGTTACATCCTTCATATTGTAACTAATTGTGTAGCAGTACTGATTCCTGTGTCTCTTCACTAGTTACAGGCTGCCAACCTGAAAATGACCCCCTTATCCCAACTCTGTCTTCTATTTGTTAGTCAATCCTGTATCCATGCTAACATACTACCTCCAACAGTGTGGGCTCCTATTAAGTGGTGAAGGTGTCATCAACAAGCAGCACCTGCTCAGCAATAACCTGCTCAGTGATGCCCAGTTGGGGTTTCACTAGCTCCTGACCTTGCTACATAGGAACAAGAGTAGGCCATTCAGCCCTCACATTTGTTCCACTATTCAATGGCCAGTCTGTGGTCTAATTCTATATGCCTACCTTGAGCCTGTATCCCTTGATACTCTTGCTTAATAAAAGTTTGTCTATCTCACATTTAAGAATTAAATTAGCATCAATTGCAGTATCCAGTGTCTCCAACCATTTCTTGATATCACGTGGAGTGAATCGAATTGGCTGAAGACTGGTATCTGTGATGCTGGGGACCACTGGAGGAGGCAGAGATGGATCATCTACTCGGCACTTCTGGCTGAAGATTGCTGCGAATGCTTCAGCCTTATGTTTTGCACTTGTTGGTGAAGAACCACTTTAGTTGAATCACTCAATACCGAGGTCTGTTCTGATCATAAAACGGGTTATTTCATATTGGGTTGGGGGAGGTGGGTGGAGCAAGCTGCTGGGATTGACAGGTGCTTGTCCAATAAACAGAGGAAATCAGATAGGTCTTCAGTCCATCCTGGCTGGTTGAGTTAAGTCATTGAGTGTATTTAAGACAGAGATTGATTGATTGGTTCTTAATTTGTAAGGGGATCAAGTAATCACATTATTAATTGATTACAAACATATCCAATTAAATTAATAACAAGGCATCATGTGATTACGTGATCACCTTGTGGATAGTGCTGAAACATTTCACTGTTTATCAGACACTTTGACAATTGACTCATCTTCAACCAGTAGCACCATGTTTTACAACATACAACATACTGGGTGGTTATTGGTTGCTGCCTGAGGCATCAGTGGCCCTGTTATCCTGGGTGAACCTGGACCCTCACTCACTCGCAGCCTGGTCCCATTCCAAACCCAGATTCTTGGTCACACTCCCCGTCCCCCTCTTCCCCCAGCCTTGATCTGATCCTAGTAGTGAAAATAGCTTGCAGTGTTTTTACAGCAGAAAGGACCTGGAGGGATTTTATCATGGGTCATAACTCTGCAATGGGATTAATTGCAGCAAATATTTCCCTCTCAGGTTTGGACTGGGCAATCACTTCTGAGGGTCTTGAACTGACCATTGCTACAAACCACCTCGGCCCATTCCTCCTGACCAACCTGCTACTGGGTGAGTGCTTCACTGAATAATTGTTCATCTTCAGAATATCATGATTCATCTTCACTTATCATCTTCACTCTGCCACCATTCATCTTCAGTCATTCATCATCATCATCTCCAGTCCATCATTATCTTCACTGTATCATCATTATTCATCATTAGTCATTCATCATTCACCTTCACTCAATGATCATTTTCACTCTGACATCATTTGTCATCATCACTCTAACATCCTCCATCTTCACTCGATTATTATTCATCACCAGACTTGCTGAAACGTTCCACGAATGCCCGGATTGTGAATGTCTCTTCAATGAATCACCGTCGTGGAAAGGTTGACTTTAAGCATTTCAAAGGAGAGAACCCGCCAACATCCGGGAAGGATGCGATGTACAACAACACCAAACTGATGAATGTATTATTCACCGAGGAGCTGTCTCAGCGGCTCAAACACACAGGTACAAATAGCACTCCGAGGACCGGGACTGATGCAGGAGTGGACCTTTTATACACTGACACATTCAACACTACCGACCTAAAAGGGCTACATGTATTGGGCATTGTAGTAACAGACTCCAAGCTCACAATGATTTTGGATGTGAATGTAGGAGGTATGGTTAATAAGTTTTCAGATGACACTAAAATTAGTGACGTTCTGGTCAGCAAAGAAGGTTACCTCAGAGTACAACGGACCTTGATCAAATGGGCCAATGAGTGGCAGATGGAGACAACAAGGTGCAGGGCTGGATGAACACAGCAGGCCAAGCAGCATCATAGGAGCAGAAAGGCTGACGTTTCGGGCCTAGACCCTTCATCAGAAAAGCAGATGGAGTTTACTTTAGATAAAATGTGAGGTGCTGCATTTTGGAAAGGCAAATCAGGGCAGGACTTATACACTTAATGGGGAATGTTGCTGAACAAAGAGACCTTGGGGCTGCAGGTTCATAGTTCCTTGAAGGTGGAGTCACAGGTAGACAGGATAGTGAGAAATGTTTTTAGTACACTTGCCTTTATTGCTCAGTGCATTGAGTATAGGAGATCATGTTGCAACTGCACAGAACATTGATTAGGTCACTTTTGGAATACTGTGTTCAATTCTGCTCTCCCTGTTATAGGAGAGATATTGCAAAACTTGAAAGGGTTCAGAAAAGATTTACAAGGATGTTGCCAGGTTTGGAGGGTTTGAGCTAGAGAGAGAGACTGAATAGGCTGGGGCTACTTTCCCTGGAGTTTTGGAGACTGAGGGGTGACTTTATAGAAATTAATAAAATCATGAGGGGCATGGCGAGGGTGAACAGCCAAGGTCTTTTCCCTGGGGTAGGGGATTCTAAAACTAGAGGGCATAGATTTGAGGTGAAAGGGGAAAGATTTAAAAGGGACCTGAGGGGTATCTTTTTCATGCAGAGAGTGGTGTGAGTATGGAACAAACTGCCAGAGGAAGTGGTGGAGGCTAGTACAATTACAATGTTTAAAAGGCATCTGGACAGGTACGTGAATAGGAAGGGTTTAGAGGGATATGGGCCAAATGCTGGCGAATGGGACGAGATTAATTTAGAATATCTGGTCGGCATGGACAAGTTGGACTGAAAGGTTTGTTTCCCTGCTGTACAGCTCAATGACTGTGACTTTAAATGAGTGGGCAAGGGTCTGGCAGATGGAGTACAACGTTCGTAAATTGAGGTCATCCATTTTGATAGGAATAACAGCAAAAAGGACGATTATTTAAATGGTGAAAAATTGCAGCATGCTGCAGTGCAGAGGGACCTGGGTGTCCTTGTGCATGAATCACAAAAGGTTGGTTTGCAGGTGCAGCAGGTAACTAAGAAGGTAAATGGAATTATATCCTTCATTGCTAGAGGGATGGAGTTTAAAAACAGGGAGGTTATGTTACAGCTGTATAGGGTACTGGTGAGGGCATACCAGGAGTACTGTGTACAGTTTTGGGCTCCTCACTTGAGAAAGGATGTACTGGCACTGGAGCGGGTGCAGAGGAGATTCACTAGATTGATTCCAGAGTTGAGAGGGTTGATTTATGAGGAGAGACTGAGTAGACTGGGACTATACTCATTGGAATTTAGAAGAATGAGGGGATCTTATAGAAACATATAAATTTATGAAGGGAATAGATAAGGTAGAAGCAGGAAGATTGTTTCCACTAGCAGATGAAACTAGAACTAGGGGGCATAGCCTCAAATTAAGGAGAAGCAGATTTAGGACTGAGTTGAGGAGGAACTTCTTCACCCAAAGGGTCGTGAATCTGTGGAATTCCCTGCCAATGGAAGCAGTCGAGGATTCCTCATTGAATGTTTTTAAGGCAAAGATAGATAAATTTTTGAACAGTAAAAGAATTAAGGGATATGGTGAGCAGGAGGGTAAGTGGAGCTGAGTCTACAAAAAGATCAGCCATGATCTTATTGAATGGCAGAGCAGACTCAGTGGGCCAGATGGCCTACTCCTCCTGTTTCTTATGCTCTTATGAAAACATCAGAAACAGGGAACAACATCAGTGCCGACTTCATCCTCGCTCAGTACAATCTTCGAAATCAAATTTTATCTTTGCCAGCTCCTCACGTTCCCTTTGATTCAATTGTTGACCAAAGATTGATTGATCCTGGTGCTGAATATACTCGAGTATATAAACTCAATAAACATTCAGAGTGCTCAAGAGTAAAGAATTCCAAAGGTTCAAGATGTGTTCATTGCAGATGTTTTGCCTTACCTTAGTCCCACGCAGATGTATTCTTAAACTGAGAATAGACCCGCTCACTCAACCCATCTGCTGGGGAAAATTGTCTTTCGGCATTAACTCTAACCCCCTAAAAATAATTCTCCCCTGAGTGTTAACTTCCCAAAGCATCCATCCCATGTAACATTAATCCCTCCCCCTGAATCACTCAGCCCCTCCATGAAACATTAACTTCTTCCTTTGATGCATTGAAACTATGGAAAGAGTTGGGTGGTGGGATTAGTTTTGTTTCTTCTTGGAGTGAGTTTGGATCAATATGATGGGCCGAGTGGCCTCTCCGTGTAGTCTCCAGCCGAATGGTTGAGTAAGAATCACATCAACTTGATGGGGGCCAAGGGGGTGGGGAATGTTGGACATTTGAGTTTGTCAGTGGGCCTCATGTTGGGATTGTGTCTGACATTTTCACCCCTGATTTCCTCCAGGAGTGACAGTGAACGCTGTCCATCCAGGAGTGGTGATGTCGGAAATTATGCGGAACTACAATGTGTTACTAAGGATTATCTTCAACCTGATTGGAATCTTCTTCTTCAAGGTCAGAACTCATAAGAAGTTGCTTGTGAACTGGCCAGGGGCACCACTGAGTTCCTGGTCATTGTCTGTGTGTTGGTAACTCGCAAAGAAAAGGCATGCGTTTCTGCACCACCACTTACATTCTCATAACGTGCCAAAAACCACAAACAGGAAGAGGCCATTTGAACTGTTCCACCATCTCGTAAGAACACTGTCAACCTGTGGCCTAAACCCAGCCACCTCACTTTGGCTCCTGTACATTTAAATAAAGGCAGTACAAAGAGAGATTGGATAGGTTGGGGTTGTTTTAATTGGAGCAGAGGAGATTGAGAGGGAATGTGATTGAGATGTAAAAAAATTGAGGGACATGGGGTAGACCAGAAGAAACTTCCCCTTGATGGAGGGCTGAATGACCAGGGGGTACAGATTTAAGGCAAGGGGCAGAAGGTTTAGCACTGATGTGAGGGAAAACTTTCTCATTCAGAGGCTAGTGGGAATCTGGAACTCACTGCCTGTCAGGATTGGAGAGGCAGAAACCCTCATAACATTGACAAAATATTTAAATGTGTACTTGTGATATACAAGGCCAAGTGCTGGGAAATGGGATTAGAATCCTTAGGTGGCTGTTTTTGAGTGGTGAGAGTCCCAAACTTTTACTGTTCGCTGTCTGCTGAAATCTTTCCTGAATTCACTCCCGAAATGTCTGAGCCCAGGACCAGCGGAAGTATTTTCTGTTCACCCTATCAATTCCCCTTAATGTTTTGATAACTCTGAGGGGCACGGGTAGGGGGTAAGGTGAGAGGAGAAAGATTTAAAAGGAATCTGAGGGGCAACTTTTTCACGCAGAGGGTGGTGTGTGTATGGAATGAGCTGCCAGACGAAGTGGTAGAGGGGAGTACAATTACAACATTTAAAAGACATTTGGACAGATACGTGAATAGGAAGGGTTTAGAGGGATATGGGCCAAACACAGGCGAATGGGACTAGTTCAGTTTGGGAAACCTGGTCAGCATAGGCAAGTTGGACCGAAGAGTCTGTTTCCGTGCTATATGACTTTTTGACCAAATATATAACTTTCCATTCTCATACACATATTTCTATTTTCAAAGCTGTTTGGAATTCAACTGATTATTTGAGCAATTTGGTTTGTTGATCTTTTGTTGTTTGACGTTCTGAATTATCTTGTGTTCCAGTTTTCAGAGGAAGGAGCTGTGAGTCCCATCTACTGTGCTGTGTCAAAGGAAATGGATGGTGTCTCTGGAAAGTACATTGACAGTGACTGCTCTCTCACTCTGCCCAGCCCATTAGCACAAGACCAAGCCTTAGCTAAAAAGCTGTGGGAGGTCAGTGAGTCATTCACTGGCCTCACAAATGACAAGAGTCAAGTTAATGCAATGTGAATCATTCCTTCAGGTGTCTCCTCAGGCATTAAACTCACCTTTCAACATGAGCCATAACTTTGGAAATCTCCATTTCCCCAAAGTCCCTCTGTCTCCTGCCGTCCATTCCTTCCCTGCCCTCATATGCAGCAAGACTTGGAAGTTGACAAGTGGCCAAGTAATATTCATGCCACACAATGACCATCTCCAGCAAGAAACAGTCGAACCATCATCCCTTAACATTCAGTGGTGTTACCGTTGCTGAATCCCCCACAATCGACATCAAGAAACTGAATGGGACTTGCCATATAAATACAGTGGCTACAAGAGCAGGCCCATGGCAGGCAATGGCCTAGTGGTATTATCACTGAACTATTAATCCAGAGATGCATGTAATGTCCTGGGAACCTGAGTTCAAGTCCTGCCATAAATTCAATAAAAATCTGGAATTAACAGCCTAATGATGACTATGAACCTATTGTTGATTATTGTAAAATCTGATTCACTAATGTCTACCTACTATCCTTACCCGGTCTGGCCTACATGTGACTCCAGATCCACGGCAATTATGGATGGGCAATAAATGCTGACTGGGCCATTGATGCACACATCTTGAGAATGAATGAAAAAAAACAGTGAGAGGCTAGGAATCCTGCATTGAGTAACTCACTTCCTGACTCCTTAATGCCTGTCTATCATCTACAACACACAAGTTAGGAGGTGGGAAACTCCTCACTTGCCTGAATGGATGCAACTCCAACAACACTCAAGAAGCTTCACGCTATTCAGGACAAAGCAGCCCTCCACCACCGATGCTCAGTAGCAGCAGTGTGTACCATCTACAAGATGCACTGCAGCAATTCACCAAAGATCCTCAGACTGCACATTTCAAACACACAACCACTTCCATCTAGAAGTAGATGCATGGGAACATCACTCCCTGCAAGATTTCGCACCCCCCCCCCCCCCCCCACCAACCAGGCCACTCACCATCCTGACTTGGAAATATGTCGCTGGGTCAAAATCCTGGAATTCCCTCCCTAAGGGCACGATGGGTCAAGCTACAGCACATGGACTGCAGCGGATCAAGAAGGCAACTCACCACCACCTTCTCAAGGGGCAATTAGGAATCGGCAAGAAAGCTGGCCCAGGCTGTGATGCTCATATCCTGTAAAAAAGCCCCCATACTGCACTATGGTACTTCCATTGTACACTGTATAGAAGTGATTAACCATATAGTGACAGTGGTATGTGCTAAAAAAGCTTTTAAAAGGGGATTTATTGTTAACTTTTCACTATGTTAAAGCCACCCTTTTAAAAAATAAACATCGCTTCACTACAATGCAATAAAAGTCTTAGTCCTCCAGACACTTCACATTTTCATTGATTGAAATGAGGGGTCACTTGAAATGAGAGCCAGCGTTGTCAACTAAGCTCAGGGGCTCAGGTATTTCATTGGGCTACTGGTTGTTTGGGCTCTCAGTCAAGAATAGCCAAGAATTCAGTTCCAAAGTGCTGCCAGAGCTGCAGAGTTTCTCTGGCGCTTTCTGTTTTGATTTCAGATCTCCACAATGTTTTCATTATAATACATTAAGGGTGTTTGGCTGAGACAACTATGAGGTGAATGTATGTAGATAAAGCAGCACTTTGGTCTGGTTGGAGATGGCAAGGTCTTCAGTCAGTCACTACCCCCTACCTGCATCCACCTATCACCATCCCATTTACCTTCCTCCAGCTCCACCCCTCCTCCCTCTATTTATTACCCAGCTCCCTACCCCTTCCCAGTCCTGATGAAGGATCCCAACCTGAAATGTTGACTTTCTTGCTCCTCTGATGCTGCCTGACCTGCTGTGTTCCTCCAGCTCCACACTGTATTGACTTTGGTCTGGTCAGTCAGACAGCGTACATGCATTGTAAATAGCCTCTAAAATTGCCAAATTAACCAACTTAACCTATCAAACTAAAATACTAAAACCCAAGTCTGCTTACACTTCACTGGGATGAGGATGAACAGCTATATTGCAACATCCTGTATTATGTTCCAGCTTGCATACAAATCAACTTGTGAATGGACTCAAGAATAGAACCTGTTCATAACCTGGCCACTGTCTATAAATGTAGAACTTGGTGTCTGTCTGAACTGGTGAGAAATGGACAGAGCAGAAGAAGAACTCTGAAGAAGAGTCATATGGGAGTTGAAATGTTACCTCTGTTTCTTTCTGCACAGATGCTGCCAGACCAGCTGAGTTTCTCCAGAACTTTGTGATTTTCTTTCACATCTCCAGCATTCACAATATTTTGCAGGGGGAAAGCTGGAGAACAGTTCTGTAGCCTTTGAAAGGTCTCTGACTTATCCAATACAAAGTTACAACTTGTAGCATCAGCTGAAAGAAATAGAAGCATGTTTTTTCACAATTAAAGTGGCTTACTGCAGAGAATTGTGTGACGATATTATGGGTTTAAGAGGTGTATTTTGTCCCTTTTTTATGAAGCGAGGTCAAGACAGAGGTGATGAGCAGTCTGCTCAAAGCTAATTAAGCTTGTAAGGCCTTGGGTATTTTTTTCTGAAGTTGGAACAATAGAAGCAGCCTGAATGAGTGGGGTCAAGCTCCCACAGAACCAGGATTATTAGTTTTAGCTTTCAGCAATTGCTGGGATCTTGAAGCTGGATGTGGAAGCTCTTATTCCCTTCTCTGTTACAGCTAAAACCTGGGGTTCTCTTCCTGCTGCTAGAATTGCTCATGAGACAATGTATTTTACTGAATTTGCCTTTGCCAAGGGTGTGTTTATGGGATGTAATGATATTGGAACAGTTAATTAATAGTAAGTTAGTACATATGTTAGTTTGTTAAGCATTTCAATAGACTTACAGATGAGTCAATTCTTTTGTTCTGTCTTTATTTTAACCACAATGTATAAATGAAGTGTGTTTTGCTTAAAGTTGAGTAGTTTGACCTATTGAATTGCATCTGGAACACAACATCTTACAATTACCTTGAAAATAAGAAAAAGTTAGGGTCTAGGCTATCTTATTAATATATTTTGAAGGGATTTGGTCTGGTCTGTAACAATTGAGAGTTTTTTTTGGGTGATGCAGACCTGTTGTTTCTCTCTGGTCTGACCTTAGTCCTCTCCATCCTGTTCACAGCCCATTCACGTAGTTATTGGCAGGCAGAGATCCTGTGTCATTGATAATTGGTTCCATCGTCCACAAACCAATCAGCTTCATTTGTAAGCTATCCCTTGGCCTCAATTCATCTGGGACCTCAAGGCAACACAAACAGCATCTACGAAGGGTATCAAATTCCTTGCTTTTAAAACATGTATGTCTAAAACAGCTCTTCCTCATTTCGGTCCACAGTTTGAAAATGGGCAAAAGTAAAAGGATGGCTTGGGTGCTGATGAATCTGGTCACGTGACCTTTGCTCTTTATTCCATTTTTCCTTCCTCAAACCTAATTCTTTCATTTTCTTCCAACATGGGGTAATGCAATATCAAACCAAACATGTTTGTCTTATTATGTCTGAGATGGCGCCTATGTTACTGAGCTGTACCAGTGTTAGAGTCTGAGTGAACAAAGAACAAGAACAATACAGCACAGGAACAGGCCCTTCAGCCCTCCAAGCCTGGAATGATCTAGATATTATTGACTTAATAAAAATGACAGGGTTCATGCATGTTAGTTATCTGAGGAGGTCATCTTCTTCCTGTAATTCTCTGCAACGAGAGTGAGAATAATTTGATAGCTCCTTGGAAAATCCATCACATCACTGAGGAGTTGAATAATCACCTAATTCAGTGACGTTTGTGTGTAACTGGAAGCTCTATTCCCTGCACCAAGCTTCCAGGTGGCCAGAAACCTGGAGTGATCCTTTGAATGCACAGACATGCGTGAGACATGGGCTTAGCCAATCAGTAGTTTTATTTACCTGAGACAGATAGGCTGTACAGAGTTTGACTGAGGTCTGTTTCCCTGTACTTCTCAATAAGTAAGCAGCAGCTAACATTAAGCATAATGTCAGGACTGAGATGCCACCAGAGTGAAAGTGGAGGAGAACAGGGATGTGGTTATTCATTCATGCGTTAGTAATTCCCCTGAGAAGGTGGTCGTGAGCTGCCTCTTGAACCTCGACAATGCACTGCTGTACAGTACAGCACAGTGCAGGCCCTTCGGCCCACGATGTTGTGCCGAACTTTTACCCTAAACCTTAGGTCTATCTAACCTCCACCCCTACCTTATACTATCATCCATATGCCTATCTAATAGCCGTTTAAATGCCCCTAATGAGGACAACTCCACTACCCTCTCCGGCAATGTATTCCACACCCCAACCACTCTCTGAGTAAAGAATCTACCTCTGACGTCACCCCTATATCTACCGCCACTCACTTTAAAACTATGCCCCCTCGTAATAGCTACCTCCATCCTAGGAAAAAGTCTCTGGCTGTCGACTCTATCTATACCTCTGATCATTTTGTACACCTCGATCAAGTCACCTCTCATCCTTCGTTGTTCTAAAGAGAAAAGCCCTAGCTCTCTCAACCTTTTCCTCGTAAGACCTTCCCTTCATTCCAGGCAACATCCTGGTAAATCTCCTCTGCACCTTTTCCAATGCTTCCAAATCTTTCCTGTAGTGAGGCGACCAGAACTGGACACAATATTCCAGATGTGGCCAAACCAGGCTTTTGTATAGCTGGAGCATAACTTCATGGCTCTTGAACTCAATCCCTCTATTAATGAAAGCTAACACACCACACACCTTCTTAACAACTCTATCCACTTGGGTGGCAGCTTTCAGGGAACTGCGGACATGAACCCCAAGATCCCTCTGCTCCTCCACACTGCCAAGAATCTTTCCGTTAACCCTGTATTCTGCTTTCAAATTTGTCCTTCCAAAATGAATCACCTCACACTTTTCAGGGTTAAACTCCATCTGCCACTTCTCAGCCCAGCTCTGCATTCTATCAATGTCCCTTTGTAACCTAGAACTGCCCTCTGCACTGTCCACAACGTGACCCACCTTCGTATTGTCCGCGAACTTACTAATCCACCCTTCCACTCCTTCACTGGCACTGGCATCAGTTCTGGGACAGGAGGGATCTATACCACTGGGATGGACTCCACCTGAGCAGGGCCGGGTCCAGTGTTCTGGCGAAAAGGGTAAATAGGGTGGTTAATAGGACTTTAAACTAGTAAGTAGGGGGGAAGGGAGAAGTGAGTGTAGAGGGAGAATAACAATTAATGCAAGGCAAAGCAGCAGGTTAGCAGGTGACAAGGAAGCTTCAACTCCATTGAAAATTAGGAAAAAAGTTAAAGGGAAGGAGAACTCAAGAGCTGTTAGTAATGGAGGTGATAGGACCCAAAAAGAAGGTGCAAAAACTGGCATAAGGGCACATT